GGTACTTTGTGATGGCTGAGCATAGATTTTTGTTTGTTTGTTTATTTGGTTTTTTTTTTTTTAGGTACTGGGAATTGAACTCAGGACCTTGCGCTTGCCAGGCAGCCACTTCTGCCACTGAGCTGTATCCCCAGCCCCTGAGCTATATCCCCAGCCCCTGAGCATAGATTTTTATCAGGATCGCCTGGATTCAATCCTTCCTTGACTGCTCTACTAAAATTAGCACACTGTCAAAATTGAATCTCAATTTCCTGATCTGTAGAATGGAGACAGAGTCACCTAGTATTTGTCAAATGCTTTGGCCTTTAAGAGAGCCAATCGAATTGGTCCATGATGTTAGGTAAGCAAGACTGAACATATATGATTAATAAGTCAACATATTAGGCCACTATTCTAAGGAACAGCTTTAGAACTGCTTATTTGAATGTATTTTTCTTATAATTGCTTCTCTGGAAGCAAGATTAACTAGCCAAATGGGCTTTTGAGAAGTAACTCTCTATGAAAAATGTCAAAGGGCAATCATTTTTTTCTGCAAGAACACCTACTCCAGTTTGCAAAATTCGGGCATTTTTCAAATTATTACTATACTCTTCACTAAAAAGAATGTAACCATTGCAATTTAACACAAACGGCCTTTCTTAACCTCCTCTAGGTGATCCTAATGGTGATCAGATCTCAAGTTTTCATATCTGCACACTTGACAAAAACAAAATCCCACCAAAAATGGAAATATGTGAATCTGAAATAATGTAAAGTCTCAAGAAAAGAGTAAGCTCTTCCAGCAGATGAGAACCAAAGTTATAAGCATTTCAATAAGCCTTCTGCCTACCTGGAAACCCAATATATCCTCTCTAATGCTTTGGGTTAAAAAATGGGAAAAATTAGAATGAACTTTGGGTTGATACTGGAACAATCAGTAGAAAAATTTGATTTTTAATAGAAAAAGATAGATATAAAACAAATTTAGATATAAAGTATAGATGTGTATATAGTCATATGTTTTTTAAACATTGTGCTCTGAGAAAGCCAAAAAATATGTTCCCTGGAGAAAAGAATGATCCCAGGCCTTGGTCAGAAAAAAAAATAAGGTAGGCTTGAACATCTTGTCAGAAAGGGAGAAAGTGCTCAGACAATGGGAAATATCAAAAAAGACACAGAACCTGATGTAATGGGGCTTCCACTGCAGGAGGTAGGACAATTCGAGTGCCAAAATAAACAAGAGTAGGATATTATATGCTATCAGATAAAATAGGAGCCTATAAACCCTCACTGGTATAGATAATAGAATATTTATGAGTCCTCACTCACAAATATTATATAAATATGAGATAAACTTGAGGCTTTTATAGGTAAATGGTTGCAAATAGAGACCATAATCATAAGTGAAATAAATCAAACATACATGTGCAAACATCGCATTGTTTCTCCAGTGTAAAGCCTGAAAGAATTAATTTAAAGTAGGAGATATGATAGACATTGTAAATTGATAGGAAAGCACTCAAAGGTAAAGG